CTGGCAGAGGGTAGATTTAGGCTAGATATCAGGAGGCGCTACTTCATGGTCAGGGCAGCTAGGGTCTGGAACCAACTTCCAAGAGAAGTGGTGCTGGCTCCTACCCTGGGGGTCTTTAAGAGGAGGTTAGATGAACACCTTGCTGGGGTCGTTTGACCCCAGTAATCTTCCCTGCCATGGCAGGGGGTCAGACTAGGTGATCTACTCAGGTCCCTTCCGACCCTAGAAACTACGAAACTACGAGGTTGAGCTGGGGAAGGTAGAGGAGGGGGAGTGGGCAGAAGCTGAAGGGGCAGGGAATTGAAGGGCCTATAATCACAAGAACATACATGATGGAAGAAACCAAAATCCTGAGTCTTTATTCTGGTGCCAGCAAACAGCTGTGAAGTCTTCAGGCAAAGTTGGGATCTTATCCTTGCATACTGCCTAGTGTCCATAGAGGATAACAGACCACTGCTGCTACCAATAGCTTTGCTAGCTCGAGTGGAAGGGGTCTGAGCTGTAGAGGCTAACATCTATGTTGCATATTCAGACTTTGTTCTGGCATTTCCTGCTTTCAAGTGCTTTGACTTGGCAGCTGTATTGTTCTGTTGACAGGGAGTGAGGGAGCACATAAAGGCAGCACATACTCAGGATCCCCAGATCCAGTGGTTGCCACCCATTTTATCCTGCCCATCTGCAGAGGCTGGTTCATGGAATAGCCCATTCAAACAATCTAAAGCGTAAAAGTCCCAAGTTCAATTTCTAGGAGTGCCCGGTTCCTCCCCTGGTTGGCAATAATGTGTGTAAATGGGCAGAGACCATGTTCTCCCCTGTTCTAGCTCCTTGTACTGACTGCTTCTGTTTTCCATTCCAGGGAAGATGCTGTTGCTCCAAAGACACTTTCTTGGGCTAAAGGTTCTGGTTCAGACACTGTCTCCAAAAATGGTACCTTGTCTTCAGTGAACACAACTCGGGACCACAAATTGTACATATCCAAGCCTGTCTCAGACACAGCCTCCATCATCACTGCTGCTGGCAGCACTGTGGGCTACAAGCCCCAGTACCCCACCGTAAGGAGTGGAACTCTAACACCCACTCCCAGCTTATCCAGCCAGTCCCTGCCTCTCTATTTCCCCCCTGTGATGAATGGCAACCATTACCAGAACACTGTGCCAAGCAACAGAAATGCCCTCCACAGGACAAATGGACCTCAGCTACAGCCCCCCCAGCAAGAGCCTGCGGTGCCTCAAGGGCTCACCACCTCCACCCTTGCTAGAATGGGTGCAGTGCCAGTCATGGTGCCAGCTCAGAGCCACGCAGGGTCACTGGTGTAAGCATCCAACAGCTTGTGCACCCTCTGTACAGAGAAAAGGGTCTGAAAGTGGCCATTTATCCTTACCAAAGTGGACAGTTGGGGAAACAGAAGGGCAAAGCCACTTGCTTCCTGCTCCATGCTCATGCATATATGAGATGTGTGAGGGGAGCAGTTTACATGGCATTTCTGTGCTGAAATTCCCAAGGAACAGACTGCCTTAGACACCCTCTGGACACAGCAAATACCCCTGCAGCCTCACACACAGCACTCCTCTCCCCAAAAACTCCTCCCCACTCCCTGCTCCCTCCCTATGCTGTTGCCTTAGCACTAGGGCCCACCTCATTCCCCCCTCTGGTGGGAGAGTTTATTTATTGAAGAAATATGGCTGGTGTGTGTGTGGTTATTTCCCCTGCTTTGGGCAGCAGCTCTTTTGGCTTCTTGGCAGAGGCTGTGGCCACAGGGCTTGAAAAATGGTCTTGATGGTGCTGAGTTGGGGACATGGCCAAGCCGTTCCCAATTTCTACCCCAATAGCCACCATGGTATCCAAGCTTCAGTTTCAGCCTTTGTGAACTCCAAGATATGACCCATCCTCCCCATGGTGCCATTTTGTCTGTTATAGGAGCATTTACCCACTGCTAGCAAATTGTGCTCACACCCGGTGAAGAGAGCAGGCTTGTTGTGAGTGGAGTTGGGCCCAAGTGGAGCTTCTGGTGAGGAAGGAACCTGTCCAAGCCTGGCTCTGAGCAGTCATACAGTGCTGGGAGTCTTTGCTGGGGGAGAAGCATTATAGTACAGATTCCCCTACAGTAGTCTTCATCCCCATCACTAACCAGATTAAGGGACTGGGCCTAACTGCATCATGCCTGCTAGCTAGAGCTGTTATGAAGGGGCATCACTGTGATAGTGTCTGGTGATGGTAGCTGCCATGAATCCCACCCTCTGCCTGGTAAAGCTGGTATACACCCCTTCTCTTCACCCATGCACCCCCAATTGCTTGTGTACTCTAGCTGCTTTAGTTCTCTGGCTAGCAGGGGTCACACTTTCCTCTCTCATCTCTCACTATCTGAATCCTCCAGTCTGTGTCCTGCCTGCCACAGGTATTGGGGACAGGGCAGCAGCTTACCTAGGATTTGTACACTCCTTCCTCAACACTGTGGAGAGCTGCACTTTGCAAAGAGCCCAAGCCCCCAACAACCAAAGTTGTGCCCTGCCTGAGGGGTAACAAGGCCTCTCTGTCTTCCCACCAGGAGAGGGTCATGAGCTTGTGCTACTAACCCAAGCAAAATGTTCTAGAGTTACCTTGTAGTCCAACAGTCTAACCATTGCTCTTTTAAGGATACCTTCAGCGTTTTGATTCATATTATGCTAATGATTATATTTGTTTATTTAATGGACTCCTTAAACCTTGTGTATTTTGCTTTTTTGGGTAGGAAATAATTTTATCCCCATAGCTACTAACTGCTCTTCCCACCCAGATCGTCTCCCTCTGGTTGTTCTTGTGCTGGCTATTTTTAGATGTCAGCCAGATTCTTCTGCGGGGTGGGATGGGGAAGGCGCTGAGAGATTATTTTTATGTACAATTTTAAAATGTAATATTTTTCATAAATGGTCATTAAAATATTTGTTTTTATATTTAAATGGGAGCTGAGTTAGGTGCATTCCAGAACAGGCTGAAAACAGGCACAGCTCAAGACCTTTACCACCGCCACCCACCGGTGCCTGGCAGGGAGGCAAAACTATGCAAACCTTGTGACAGGAGTTGCCATGGGTAGCATGGCCCATGTTATCAGCATGCCTCTCCCAGCCCTGTACAAGACAAATATGAACAAACTACATCATAGCCTTGTGGTTCTGTGCCCAACCAGAGCACTTGTAGGGGAAGGGTTAGCAGGAGTAGCAGCAGGAATGAAGGCCTAGGTTCTCAATGGGACCCAAGTGGAAGATGCTCACCCTCCTGACCTTCATTCCCCTTTCCCCTCCCACCACACAACTTTCCTGCACTGGTTCTGGCAGCAGGGGGAAAAGAGAAGTAGCCCACAGTGCAGGAGCAGCTGAAGGTTTGTTGCTGCCCAGGGCAGATATCACTTCCTGGTATTTCTGGCCTCTTGACATACATATTGATGGCAAAAAAGGAGATGACATCTCCCCAGTCAGCACTGAGCCCCTGGCCTCTGCAGCTTATGCTACCACCACCCTGGGCACAGTACCACCCAGTTATGCCTGGCTAAAGCCATCCTCACTTTGACTAGCCACCCACATCTCCCTCCCTAAAGAAAGCCTCATCCACCAAGTTATAGGCCACTGCTGGGGTGGGAGAAAGGCATTGCTCATCACTCCCTTTGATGCTGTTCCAGGGGTTGAGCCACATGACTAACATAGGACAGGCACCTGATTTCACAAGGCATTACCCTTCCCCTACCACATATTAAGAGAAAACAGCTGCCTGTACTGAGCTCTGCGTAGAGCTGGATGAGCATGTGCTCCAAGTTGGGGGAGAGGGAGGTGGAGGAGCACATACTTTAAGGATCCTGCACAGTAGAGGTGTGAGGCACCAAGATGCTTGGTCCCTCCAAGACTGAGGTGCTGCTGGACGCACACAAAAAGGAGTTTTTATTATCTGAGGAACTTGAATGTCAAAAATAGAGGTGCCAATGGAGTTCAGATATTTTCAGCATGCAATTTGTGGATTGGATTTCCATGCCTAAATTATGCTTCAATCCCACTTTAGGTGCCTAGATCTTTTCTGAGTTTAGATTGTAGCTCAGCAATTCTCAACTGGGGTCATGTGAAATTCAGAAAAGTTATGAAGACAGCCTTGAGCTTAAAAAAGTGCTCAACCCCTGGCCTGCAGGCACTCTCCATGGGGTCAGGAGTTTAGTGGTGGGAGAGCAGTGGCAATTAACATGGCTACCACTTGTCCACCACCAAATTTCCAAGCTCTGCCCACAGAACAGGTGTGGTCTGTGAACCAACTTGACATCACTTATTTGGCCCACTGATCAGTCCATGCCGGTCTTCTACAGGTGATGTGTAGGGGGTGCACGTGCACCCCCTGAGAGCATTGGTGCCCCCCAAGAAGCACCATTGGCACTTCCAGGCATGCCACTAGCACTTTCAGGCTCTTCCTGTGGACAGTCATCACCCCCTCCAGCCTCAGGAGGCACACATAGCTCTGATCATGCTTCTGCCTGCAGCCTAATGAGATGTGGGTTGGTCCATGGACTTCCACATAAGGAGATATTGGTAGGGATCTACCAAAAATCACCATTGCATATTTTTTGTGGACAAAGCCAAATCAGGCAGGCTCTGTGAAAAATAGTGGGCTCACTGCAAAAAAAAACTTACCAGCAATCAAAGGAAAGTGTAGGAAGCACTGCAGTCCTGAAATATGCGGTGTGGGGGGAAGGGTGGGAAAGCAGGTGGCAAAGAGAAAGTAAATCTGAGGCTGAGCCTGGGGCTGTAGGCTCAGTCCAGGAGCCAGTCAGGGAAGCAAGAGGGTTTTGGCTTTGCTGGTAGAGTGTCCACGCTACAGCCTGAGAAGGACTCAGCATGAAGACCAAGAAGAAATCCTCCAAGAAAGCCAAATACTTTTCAGCGCTGGACTGTGCAAGACTGCAGGGACCTTGTATGCTGATGGAGGCAGACTGTTCTGTAATGCCTGCAATCTGACTGGTTGTGTCAAGGAAAACCAGTATAGATCAACACTTAGAGTCCATGGCTCACATGAACTCATAGGCTCCTGCAGAGGCTGAAGATCAGAGCAAGAAGCAATTGACTGTGTCCTTGTTCTTTAAAAACTACCACAGAAAGCAACTTGGCAAGGTGAGAGGCAGCATTTTCCTTCATGGCAGCTTTCACAGTGGCAAACATCCCACTGGAGAAACTTGATCACCCAAAGTTAAGGAACTACCAGAACAAAAACATGCCAAATGCTGGCAGTTTTCTGTGGGCCAACAATTTTCACCAAAACTATCTCCCCGCGGTGATTGCTTTGCATATACAGTCCACAAAGTCTGCATTAACGGAGTATGAATCCTTGTCCATTGTGGCTGATGAAGCACTGACCCTCAAGATAAATAAATAAAATGTGTAGCACATAGTTATGCTGGG